ATGAAACATTGGGTTTGTGTTTTTGAATCCCAGGTACAACATTTGCTGAGGTTATTTTTTCTTAGTCTGCTAATTTAGTTTTTTTTATTTTTATTTTTATTTTTTTAATTTTTTTTTTATTTTAGGGCTGCTCATGGTTTGATAATGATGCGAAGAAGGGCGACACAGGTCCGCTGAGTCACCCCCTTCGACTTCTTACACCTGGGTAAGACAATTATAGATTTAAGGTATTTTTTTCTTTCGAAGTGCTTCTCGACAGCTACGACCCTCAACCCATCCCTTTTCTTCTGTCTTTTGAAATCATATCTATTTTAGAACTCAATTTTAGATTTTTTAGGTCTTTAATCTTGATCCTTTTGGTTTTACCATCGTTCTTCTACCTCTTCTGCCTTACTTCGTCACTGTGTTGCTGCTTCAGCTTCATCCAATAATTCTGGAAATCAGGGGACAAAGAAAATGGTATTTCATGGCTTTGTTTATGGTGGTTCCATAGGTGGACCTCCTACCCATCCCCATGCCAACTTATCAGAACAAAAAATAGCAGTAGCATGGGTCTTCTGAGAGGTTGGTGATTCAAACTACTCTTCACCTTGAAGCATATCTATATTATGGTCTGTATATTCTTGCTTTTGAATGCATACTCTGCTCAGGATCTTGAAGGAATCCTTGTATGTTTTCCTATTTTTGATCTACAACTATTACCATATTCTTCATTATGATTGAATTTATTGACATTTAGAAATTTTTGATATTTTCTTACGTCAAAAAGACTAATGTGAGTCCAGAGCCTGAGTCTCTTTGTTATGAGGATGGAGAGTTAGAGCTGGTAGAAGCATCTGATAATCTTGAAGACTATATGTGTTTTTTCAATCCTATTATCAACAATTGCTATTGATTCTGATGGCACTCATGCTTGTTACTGGGTTGTTTTAGGTTTATGGAGAGACATGAGCAAATATTTAGAGGTTCTTGTGGTTGATGATGATGACACTCATGCTTGTTATTGGGTTTCCTCTAGTTAAAGGTGAACATCCAATCTAACAATCTTAATTGCTTATCCAATCTAACAATCTTCCTCTAGAATTAATGTGTGATGTCCATTTAATCGTGCTTTTGCAACTATTCGAAACATTAAATCAGTTTTGACTTCTGAGCATTTGGGTAAAAGTGATTGATTATGATGTTTTTGATTACTTAGCTACAAAACAATCAGATTTTTATATTAAAAAAACGGCAAGAAGCTATAATATACAAACTATTTTAACATTTAGGTCAAATCTACTATTTTAGGAATAAATCTATTTGCAAATCCTGAACCAGTTTCTTAGATTGCAATACTTGTTCTTAACTTTTGTTTTAAGAACCCATATAAATTATTATCAATTTGAAGTTTTTAAAAATCAAAAGTTTTGACCTAAAAAACATAGTTTACCTTCTTCCAAAATCCAAACTAATATTTTAAATTGGTAAAAGTCTTTTCCAGGTTGTGCCATGATTTCTTTTCTGCTACTTTTTATCGGATGTTCTTCAAGGCCCCTCTATCCACTTCCAAGACACCATGAAAAGACGAAAATTCCCCTACAAACTTTTTGTCCATTTAACATTGCACATCGGGATTCAAATGGAGAACTCCCAGAAGAAACTGCTCCTTCTTACTTGGTACATGTTTTATGGTATACATGTTAAAAATATAGTGTTTAACTACAATTGTTATATAAGTTTTGGGTAATTTTGTTTCCTACAGAGGGAAATTGAAGATGCACAAACTTCATAGAAACATATATTTTAGTTAGCGAAGATGGTGTTCATATATGCCACCATGATCATCTGCTTTAGTAGGAATTGCATTAAATGTATCCATGATGCTCATGATTATCTGGTTTAGTAACAACAAGGAAAAATCTGATAAATCATCAAAATGCAAACACCAAACTACTAAATTGATTAGGCACTCTTTGAGTTATGTGTTCTTTATTCATTCCAGGAAAAGGAATAAAAAGAATGCAATCTGGACCGATCCAGTGTAGAACAAAAAGGTGCTTGACTACTTGAAAGTAGGTCTTACGCTATATTTTACTATGAAACACTCATAAAAGTATCCATTTTGTTGAAATAGGCTCTCTTGGCACTCTCATATGTTGAAATCACCCTCTCTGATGCAATTATTTTTGCTGAAAAAAAAGTCCAAAAAAGGTCCTAAAATCTCAATTTTACTTTACACATTATCTACTTTTGTTTAACTTTTTATATATGTAATGTGTGCTTTGTTCCATCCGAAAAGAGGACCTTATTGTTTCAGCGTCATTAGATGAGACTGTTAGAGTTGGTGCTCTGAAAAAGAGGACCTTTTTATATATGTAATGTGTGCTTTGAGTCATTGGTGCTCTGAAAAAGAAAACAGTTTCCCCTGCTGATGATATCCTCTGGCTCAGTCAAATTATTGTTGATCCCAGGGATTCTCTACATAGAGTAAGAGAGACTTCAATACTTTCATTAGGGCTTGTGAGAAGTATGGTAGGAGTGATGTGGGTAGTATTGCTTCTGAAATGGAAGGCAAATCAGAAGAGGAAGTTGAAAGATATGCTGCAGTGTTTAAAGAAAGATACAAGGAGTTAAATGGTAAATTAGTTTTAATAAAATTATAAACTATGTCCATGGTCCTAACTTGCTACATTGCTACTTGTTAAAGTTTGAGTCCATATTGCATGATGTTTTGTGTTGTTTGTAACAGATTATGATCAAATTATTAAGAATGTTGAAAGAGGGAGGCTAGAATTTCTCGTAAAGATGAAATAATGAAAGCAATCGGAAAGAAATTAGACCGGTACAAAAACCCATGGCTGGAGCTCAAAATACAATATGGTTAAAACAAAGGCAAGCTTTACAATGAAGAATATGATGGATTCATGGTAAGAAAAAAAACACTAGGATGCTAATTATATTTTATAATACACTAACAAACAAAAGTATATTGGTATGCTATTAATCTTAACAAATTTTAAATTTTTACATATTTGCATGGTTTACAAGTATGGAAATTGGGACGAATTGAAGGATGCATTTAGAACATCACCTTTGTTAAAATTTGATTGGTTTGTTAAGTCACGAGCCACTCAATAGCTTTCAAGGAGATGGTACTCTCATTCGATTGGTGGAGAGGGAAAATCAATGTCCCAAACTCGAACAGTCTGATTGTGGAGTCAATTAGGCATCATTCCATCCCACTCTTCCTCTTATTGTTTCTGGAGCTGATGATAGCCAAGTCATGATATGGCGCATGAATGGTATGGTGTCATTACAGGGTAGTTCATTTGTTAATAAGCATTCAATTTCCATCTCTTCTTGTGTCATACATTATCACCAATATACTTCAGGATCACAAATCTCACTTATCAACTTTATCTTCTAGATACCAAAGCAGGGAACACGACATATTCTGGATACTCGGTTGTCATCATTATCTACTCCTACTTCTACTCCGACTATGCCTTCTTATATACCTACCAAACAGTTCTCTCCTCAATTCCATACAAAAAGCAAAATGTCAGAACTCAGAAGAATGAAAGATTGTTTGAGAGAGAGAGGATATGAAATTATGAATCATATGATCATATGAATAACCTGCCAATTCTTTTTAGATGCATGAAGTTGTAGTATCCACCACGATTGCAGGTGTTTTCTTCATATTGTCTGCAAGTTCCTTATCGGAAATCAGTCACATGTGAGATGTCAACAATGATGGGTCGACCTAAGGAGTGGTTTTAAGTCTTTGTTGCTTTATGTTAAATTCACATGTTTTGAATCATTTAGACTACATGTTTCTCTCTTACATTATTTTTGTTTCATTACTTTGTAGGGTGGAGATGATGCTCTTGACCAAGCTACAAAGGAAGGGGGAGATATATATACATTAACTGTTATGGCGCCTATTGCTAAAAAAGAAAAGAGAAATAAAGCTTATGATATGGACATGATATCTGAAACAAGAAGGTGCCCCTTAATAGCAATGTAGTATTAGGTCATATAGTTAGGGATAACCTCTTAATAACAATGTACAATTGGATCCCCTTTATACCAATGTATTATAATTTTTGAGATGATGTTATGCATGAAATTGATTGTTTTGGTATATATTTGTTTCCATATTTTTGTATTATGTGTAAATGAGTATCGTAAAGATGCGTCGTGAAGGTATATCGTAAATGGTTGCTGAAGTTTATGACACACAAATGAGTGTCATCTTCATTTATGACAGGGGATTTAATGATACGCAATGCGTGTCGTAAACGTGCGTCGTAAGGTCATGACACGTAAATGCGCATCGCCTTCCTTTATGACAGGGGCTTCCTTGATACGCATTGTGCGTCGTAAACGCGCGTCGTAAATGCGCATCGTAAATGTGCATCGTCGCAAAAGCGTGTCGTCTCTCATTATGACAGAGCCTTTCTTGACACGCATTTGCACGTACTTTGAGCGTTTACGACACACATTGCGCGTCGTAAAAGGCTATTTTTCTAGTAGTGAACGTATTTATTTTTTAATTATATATAATTTAAAAATATTAAAAGATGTCTATTGAAGGCTGAAATTATTAGACAACATTTGTAATATAATAATTGTAAAAAGCAATTATGTATTTATCTTTTATTTTAGATAATTTTAAAAAGAATTAATAATTACTTGTGTGGTTCATGTTGTTATCTTTTGGAATCAAGAATGGTGTGACAATTGGTGGACGATAAATTGTATCCATCCCCATAGTTTGATATTTTGGATAGGATATGTTTTTGGAATTTAGATATTACATTTTCATAAAAAGATAGAAATCTTGATGTTGTTGAGTTATAAAATCACATGCACAATAAGTAAATAAAATTATGTTCTTTCGTTCTTAACTAGGGGCGTGACCTATTATGACATCCCCATTTTTGCGGCCAGAAAAGACCGATTTTGTTTATGCTTTATAAAAGTCAAAGTACATATTTTAATAAAAATGTTGTGGAATGTATTCCCAGTAAAACAGGATAAATACGTTATCAAAACCTTTCTAAAGAAAAGTATTTTTATTCATGTTAAAACATTTGGGATGTCATCGTCAATACAGAAACATAAGCATAAACAGAACTTACATTCATTATCACTAGTGATTTATATCTCCTTAATCTCTTAGTGTAATGTGACTTCCTATAATACCAGTGATATAAATAAACTTATTGGGTCAGGTTGGGAAACTTGGTGAGTACATAGGGTTTTCAACCCACAATACATAAGTTTATTAAATTTATCAAACCAAACAAACCCGATTACCCATTCCCGTTATCATCACTTTACGTCCGTAAAACATCTAACACAAGGGACCTAGACTAAGGACTTCCATCGGGGTGACAACACATGCTTCGGGAGTTCTTCAGCAATTCATGTCAAATAAGGCAACCATGTGGGGGATGGAGTACTGCTGGTGAGCACACAGTTCAAATAAACACCTACAGGTTGCGAGCCTGCTAGTGTTCCATTGGACTGTCTAGAATAGTCAGTGGTCGTCATCTATACTGCGCTAGATGACTGGATCATCAATAACATCTATATCGAGGCCTCTCATTATTTTACTTGGTCACACAACAACTATTACATCTACCCATGTTTTACCCAACACATTTTGTAGATATAAAATACATATACAGTTTAAATCATTTGAAACGTGTATAAAAATATTTCACCCAACATAGATAGCAAGTATTCAGACAATATGCACACATAGTACGTAATTTATATTAAATACTTCATATCTATATGTAAGATGAAAATAACTATGCATTCACTTGAAAAGGTGGTGATTCCGAACTCAGACAGCGCTTCACTTCTTAAAAATAAATTCCTTCGACGAAACCTAGTATTATTACCACTAGAGTTTAGTATATTATTCGTCGAGACTAATTAATATTCTAGCTATTATTACTGTTATATAAGCATTAAACAATACTTATATAACCCATAATAATATCCCAAGTACTTATTATAAGTTCCTAATAACGTTACTATAATTAAATAAAAGTTATATTAAAAATAGCGTAGGTGTGGCTCACTTACAGCGGGTTTTATAGAAAACCGGGTTTTGCTTGGAGCAGCGTTCCCGAGCCGAAAAGCTCTTCTTCTCGAAGCCGTCAAGCACTCAGGGACTTCTGCCTCGTGCTAGGGAGGTTCCCTAGGCTTTTCGGGGGGTTTCGGGGCTAGAGAGAGGTTCTAGAGACAGAGAGAGAGAGTAAAGAGAAGAAAGAATGGGAAATGTGTGAAGAAAATGAGGTTGGGAGAGGTTCTATTTATAGGGTGAAAAATGGCTGAACTTGGTGCCACATGTCACCATCTAGTGGCAAGACTTGAGGAGAAAGCAATGTCCAAGATTGTGCCACATCATCCGTTTTCGATCAACACACTTCCAACTTCTAAAATCCGTAGCTTTGACATACGACCTCCGTTTTTTATGTTATTTATATCCACGTGTAGGTAAAAATAAGATCTACAACTTTCATTTTGACTCCGTCAGCTAATTCTCGACCGATCTTAAATTTAACTGTATGAGGAAATTATACTGTTAAATGTTCGCGTAAAATTCATAACTTCTACATACAAACTCCGTTTTCATCTGTCTTTTTACCGCTGAGTTCCTATTAATGAGATCTTCAACTTCCATTTAGGTCGCATCGGCCAAAAACCACTCGAACTATAATTCGAATTTCGGGTCGTGCACTACTATGCCAAATGTTAGAAAATTCATAACTTCCTCATACAAAGTCAGATTTGGGCGTTCTTTTTATGGACGCTCTTAGTTTTAACATATTCTACAACTTTTTTTTAGATTACTAAGGATAGAAAGTCCTCTATCGTAAATTCACTATTTACGTCTCCCGGTGTCGTGCCGGTTTTGCCGAAAAACTTCGACGGACCATAATTTCTTCGTTATAACTCGGATTTCAACGTTCTTTATATGCACGGAACCCTTGATACGTATTCTACAACTTAGTTAAGATTATTTATTCTAAATAATCTTTTGTCAAAAAATCGTTTTCGACCCCTATTATCTCTAAATTGACTAGCCCGGATCTACATGCGTTACACCTATGTTCTTAGTAGGTTTTAATCAGAAACTAATAATTTTATTGATGAGGAGGGGCTACACTAACAATAAGAGAATGTGTTTCACCTTTTGGTAAAGAGAGGTAAATATATTTAAATTGCCCATATTTTTACAGAAACTAATAATTTTATTGATGATGAGGGGCTACACTGACAATAAGAGAATGTGTTTCCCCTTTTGGTAAAGAGAGGTAAATATATTTAAATTGCCTGTATTTTTACATTAAAGTACATTGTTATTTTCTACAAATTAGAAGATCCACCTATGTTGATATAAACCCAACATGTATGCCTGCACAAGCAATAATCAGAAAATGATAATTTTAAGTTATGTAGATAAGTCTATAATACAAAATAATTGTTACCGGATATTTATCCAAATGCAAATTTCGTGTAATCTTTGATTCACAATCAAAAGCATGTTGAAAATTAGTTGTGAGACTCATGTATTTTATGGATTAATTAAAAAAAATTAAATATAAATGTCTAAACGTTTGAGAACTTTGAATTTATAAAAAAAAAAAATAAGAAAAATAATGAATTGTTGTAATGGAAATATTTTTTATCTTTTAAATTTAAATAAATAAATTTAATAAATAAACAAGAAATCTAATGAGCTTTAATTTTGAGAATTTTGAAATTAATTGGTAATTTATTAATACATT